TCCAACTCTGACGCGTACACAAAAAGGTTCCGGACTGTATTACAAGTTGTTTCTAGTATTCATATAGTTACAAGCTCATCGATCCTTACAGACGGATTAAGATTTCCATGTATTTTCCGCAGTTTTCATGTAGCGGGGCCTCCGTGACCGTTACACCTCCCAGTCGCGCCATCCCTGTGTTCATGATCAGCGTCGGGAACTGAATCGAGTAATGTGTTTTGCGAAAACTTTCCGAAAACATTTTGTTTTTCGCAAAACACAACACTCGACTCAGTTTTCGACGCTGATCATGAACATGAGGTTGGTTTTGCTTCAAAGTGCGTTCTTCAGAAAGACAAACACAAAAGAAAGTTATATCGTACTTTCCTCTTCTTTCTTTCTGGGAAAGAACAGTCATATCACCGGAAAAAAATAAAGTTGGTTTAGAGTTGCTGAAAAGTGGTTTTTCGTACTCAGCAAACTCGATAACCCAGAAGATTTTCTGTTTTTGGCCCGAGGTACTTCCGAAAGTTTAGGAAAAGTTTTCAAATTAATATTATTTTTCCATGGAAAACGTTTTGCGCCATTTTGTTCAAAATTTTTCTTAAACTTTCGGAAGTACCCCGGGCCAAAACTAGAAAAATTTCTGGGTTATCGAGTGTGATGAATACGAAAAATCACTTTTCAGCAACTCTAAACCAACTTTATTTTTTTTGTTCTGGTGATATGAGGAAAGTAAAAACTTTCCTTTTCCAAAAGAAAGGAAAGTCAGTGTTTATATTTCTTTTTTTGGGAAAGAAACGAAAAAGTGCCTTCCCTAACACCTACTCTGTATGACTTCGAAACTGCAAACACACTGATTATACTCAAGTTTATGCTTGTTCCAATTATTTTCTAGAAAATTGAAAACAGTGAATGAATAGATTAAGAAAAAATAAGTTTTCACAGAAAAAACGATAGTTTTTTGAAAAAAGCGTCATTTTTAAAACTAAGCTTGCTAATCAACTTTCGACTACATATTCGGAAAGATTGCACTCAAACGCATGTGTTTCAGATGTTCGTTTTCTCATCCGGACTTCTGAATAAAGAGAAACTCGAAATAGAAAAGACTGGATCGAGCTGATCCAATATCTTTTCACAGTACAGCAGCTAAGACAAATATTAATGTTTATGAAAGTGTAAACTCGAGCGAATTATACGGATAAAAATTCTTTATGGCTCTGTCAGTCACATAGTTACATCTTAATCAGGGGTAATTTCCAGTCGTACAAGAAGGAGGGAGAGTAAAATGTACAGACAGATTCGACTTGAATTCCATCACTAATATATTACATCGGACTCCACATGCTCCTTCCGTAGGTTCTTATATGATCTTGTAGAGTTTAGTTAGCATCCTGCTGTATTCATTCATCTGGACAGAGAAAAAAGACTTCAAAAGTATAAAACAAGAAATTTCTGCCTGATGAAAGCACAAGAAAATTTTATTTGCAGGAAACCATTTTTCTTTGTACAATAAGAAATACGCCAATTACACATTTAGGATTTCATTACCTGTTATGACTAGATGATATGCTTTTCTTTCAAAATCATTGCGTCTGATACATTTTAACAGGGATCATACATCGGTGTCATCTATATTGGTACACCGCGACAGCCTGTCTCATGCGATTTCGACACTGGTTCAGTTTCAATGTTTATTCCTTCAGTTCACTGCAAAAGTTGTTCTGGTAAGAAAAACGTCATATAATGTATTCATATATAAAACTGATATATGAATCAGTATGCTTCTGTTTATGCTCATTCTATAAGAAGCGAAGTGGCATGATCAACACTAAATTATATTTTTTCTTTTGTTTATATTTTTCTTTGTCCTCCTCTAGATACAGCATGGAAATATGACAGTTCAAAATCATTGACGTATAAAAGAGGTCAAAAAAATGCTACAGCGTGTTTTGCCGATAGCTCCTGTCTACAAGCTGTTTTCAATCTTGACACTGCACAAGTGTGTATAAGATGAATTCTTTTCTGAAAAAATAATACCACTCTCCAAATTTAGGCAGGCGGTCTAGTAGTTAAACAACAATATTTTGGTGAAATTGCAAGTTCCAGTGGTAAGGTGATGGAAAACTATTCAGATGTTGGTGTTTGTGGTTTAAGATATGTACCCGAAGCGGAGCAATTTGATTTTCAACAATACAACAAAAAACAGCATTTATACGATAAAGAGACGTTAAAATCCGAATTTAACAAGTACCTTAACGCAACGACAGTATATGGTGTTGGTTATGAAACACCATTGGTCAATAATTTGGACATGAAACAAAAACTATTTGGATACTGGATAGGACGGTAAGTTGGCGTTTCTTCTTCCATACTTCGAAGAATAGTTTTCTGCTAAGTCATTTGCCTTTTTCTCCAAAACTCCACACGGATAAATGTTTTGTTTGATAACAAGCGTCTCTAGTGGTTGAAGACGTGTTTGCTGCTCGCTTGCGCGACGGACAGGAACCCGAAGGTTGGACAAGATAAGAAGATCTTTGCTTTCCTCTAACGAGGGAACGTTCTCCGGTGACCCCTTCCAATTTCATTCATTCATATGCCAATCGATAGAGGGTGTCGACCTAGTAAAAAGCCTAAAGGGATTTATCCCGACGGCTCTTGAAGACCCGGTTTTCTAGAAAATCAGTTTTCAGAAACTCTAAAAGAGTAACCAAAACGTTTCTTAGTGAGGCATGATTGTAGCCCGCAAATTTCTGATTAAAATGAGACCTCTCCCAGCTCTACGCAACCTTTCTTTGCAAAGTTATAGAATTTACAAGAAAAGCCCTAAATGTTCATTGTCAGCACAAAGCTACAGACTAGGGGTGTTAATTTAGTGTTACTTTGGAAAATAAATGTAAATGAATCATTTATAGTTAAAAAATAAAGATAAATTCGTCATTTATATATAAAAAATAAATGTAAACAAATGAAAAAAAAATTTATCTTTATTTTATAAAAGTAAATGATTCATTTATATTTATTTATTTATTTCTAAGGAAGTCTACGAGCTTTCTAGGAACTAAATAAAATCAAAGGTTTTATCATTGGAGGATCACTTTTTTCGTTTCCAACGTGAGATTCTGCCGTTTATACTAACCTAAATAAACGTTACTCTTTCTTACTTTTCTTGCGAATTTGAAGACTTGAAATAGCAAAAGCATAAATATTTTCTCAAAGATAGGTGAGATTCAATTGCGTAAGCATGTATAAGTAAATTTCTTTTTGAAGGATACGTGCCACACATGCGGAGAGAGGATTACAATCAATCTCTCTACTTAAGAAGCAGCTCCCGTAATCTTGCAAAATTCTTTTAAGAATCTTCCGAAAATCATATCAATATCTTATGAAAATCTTATAGATTCAAAAAAACTATGTCGGCAAAAAATGCCGCCTGCTCTATGAGAAAATGCCCACTGTGCACCATTACTTTCTTGGATGGGTCTCTGGAACACAGGTCCCTAGACATCCAAGACCAATTTTGAAATGAAACAATTCTGATACGGCCAGATTATAGAGCACGTTGAGTTACGTATATCTACAAGTTCTTACATCTAAAGAGTGAATTTTTACTGAAATATAAAAATATTACTATACGAAATACTGAAAACTCGAGAAAAGAGAGAGGCCGTTTTGTGATGAAATCGAGTGTCAATCGAATTCAGTTTTATTCATAGGATAGGTACAATGTGAGTAGGGGAATCGAACTGGGCATCTTTGAAACCTTAGAACTACTTCTCAAGAGGAATTTAATAGTTCAAAGCACTACAAAAGTACAATACATAAAGAAATCTCATCGATTATCATTTTATTGTTAAATCGAGACTGAGCCATCCCATTTAAGACACAGATTCTGCGAATCCAATTCTATTTTGTCCAAAATCAAATACCGTGTACAAACGACGAAAAAGACCTTGTCCAATCACCCAGAAAACTTTGTGGACGTCACCTTGCGACACAAAACGACTATAACATTTCGTATTATTATCAGATTTGACCATGTAATCTGAACTATAAATCGTAAACCATTTATTTCCTAAACCTATGTACACTGGTGGAAGAGAATCGAAATCTATTGAACAATCGAATACATACTAAAATGAAAGAGGACTCGTAATGTATTATATTACCAAAATATTGAATGGTGCTCAAACGAGAAAAATGCTATCAGAGATTTAAATACCAGATTTGTAGAGAATTTAAGTCTCTATCGAATGAGACTAAAAGCAGATTTTTAAGTCACTCGGAAGTGTTCCAAAAATCGCAACCAAAGACTGCCGGGTGACTTTTGGACCACCCTGTATTACCACTATCATTTAATGGTAATATAGATTGTTTCACTATTTTCGGCTTAAGCTTTTGAAGTAAACTTATCTGCATTGTGTCACCCAAGTACTTTCATTTCACTTATCATATACTTGAGAAAGTACTTGACAAGTAATTTACTTGAAAAAGTTCACAGCTACTATCCCCATTACTT